AGTTGTATTGCCATCTGGTGGACTGCCTGAAAGTTATTCACACTCCTCACCCTAAAAACACGGAGTGATTTTCTCATTTAATGGGATACACTGCACCCTTCACACACCAGGAATCAAGACTCAGAAGGGTTCCAAAGAGTCTAGGCCACAGAGAGCCTGGGTCTCACACCCTCCAGTTCCCAGTATACTGCTTCTCATGGGCTTGCACTGCATGGTCAATCACAAAATTTTCCAAGTTTTCCTTTGGCCAGAAGTTAAAAGAAGGTTTAAGCCCCAGACAGCTATCACAGTGAAACAAAGTTCCCAAATACTTCAGTGCAATGGTTCTCAAAGGATAGGAAGTTCCCTTAAAAATGCAGAATTCGTGGCTGTCGTAGACCCACTAAAATAGAATCTTTGCAGATAGGGAACAGGATTTTGCATTTTTAAAAGCTTCTCAGGGTATTCTGGTACATCCTAAAGTTAGAGAACCATGACCTTTGAGAAGAAACACTCGATTTGCAATGGAAAGGAAGAAGCTTTCCATCTGAAAATTAAAAATAATCCTTATTAGTGGCAACTAATACTAAATACTATTAATGAAACTAAAAGGAAATAAGATTTGCTGTGTGGGAGGTGGTACTACAAATTTATTTCCAAACATATTTATCATGAAATGGATGGCTACATAATATGAACAGGTGCATGCACATGTCAGGTGGATCATGTTGCGCTTCAACACATACACACAGGAGTGTGCACACATACACACACGCACTGTCTCCCAATCTGCATTCCCTTGGACTAGTAGATATGTATAGAGGCATGCCGTTAGAATGTTTGTTTCTAAAGACACAGGTTTCGTTGACAAAAGAAAATCAGATGAAGCCAGTTACATTTGAAGTATAACAGCAAAAATTACCCCATTACAAGAAACAGAACAAAATACCACCAAAATAATTTTGTTGGTGACAAATTGACAATACATGTATTCATGACTTTGTTATGGATCACTGTTTTGGGTTGGTGCAAAAGTAATACGGTTTTTACCATTTTAAAAGTAATGGCAAAATCCACAATTACCTTTGCACCAACCTAATAACTAATAAAGAATCAAATGCAAAGAAATTGCCACCATCATCTCACTGCCCCTAACAAAGTTCTCATAATCTCCACTATGCTCCTTCCCATCTGTGTGGTGAGATGCATATGTATTCTAAATGTTATCTCTGGTCACAGCACCCTCAAATTCTTTTGAATGGGCCTTGAGCTTTTCTCCGTCTTACATGAAGGGCTATGAAAAACCTATAGTAGTTCATGTTGCATTTTTCAAGTAGATTATCACCCTTAGCCCATTATGTGAAAATTCTGAAGGTGTTGTTGAGAAGGTGCAATTTTGTATTTTGCTTTTTGTTGACTATGATTATAATAGATAATGCTCAGTTATCATGTTTTATTTCATTGTTTGTACCATATTACCAGACCATTCCTTTATGTCTGTATAAATATTATAATTGTTTCACTTCTTTTCTTCTAGTAATGATCGAACTAGTTGGTTGTTTCTGGAGTAGGAGTTGGGGAGGGAGAAGTTTGGCGGAAATGCTATTCATGCTCTTTGGTTATTACAAGAAATAGCGTTCTAATTTACCAAACATTCTTTTCTTGCAAAATGTTGCTTCTGCTACCTTCAGTAAGTGTTAAATGTGAAAACATGAACTAACGTGTGTTGGGAGCATTGAAAAATATGTTCATGTATTGTTCTTACCTACAAGCACACATATATTCTTTACATTTTTAAATGCAAATCATCTCACACAACTAAATAATATAAGTACTAATTTCAATAGATACAATTTTTAAACTCTGTTATTTAGTACCAGACCCCTTATTTTTCAAAGAGGCCAACAAGTTTGGATTTGGAATTTGTATTTTCATTCTCTTTTCAAAAAACACTATACATTTTCCAACCCAAAGATCTCACTCTTCTTTTATTTTTCACTTTTTAAAGAATTATTATACTTTAAGTTCTGGGGTACATGTGCAGATCTTGCAGGTTTGTTAGTTACAGAGGTACACACATGCCATGGTGGTTTGCTGCCTCCATCCCCCCATCACCTACATTAGCTATTTCTCCTAATGTTATCCCTCTCCAATCTCCCCACCCCCTGCTATCCCTCCCCTAGCCCCCCATCCCCCAACAGACCCCAGTGTGTGATGCTCCCCTCCCTGTGTTCATATATTCTCATTGTTCAACACCCACTTATGAGTGAGAACATGTGGCATTTGGTTTTCTGTTCTTGTGTCAGTTTGCTGAGAATGATGGTTTCCAGATTCATTCATATCCCTGCAAAGGACATGAACTCATCTTCTTTTATGGCTGCTTAGTGTTCCATGGTGTGTATGTGCCACATTTTCTTTATCCAGTCTATCCTCGATGGGCATTTGGGTCAGTTCCAAGTATTTGCTATTATAAACAGTGCTGCTCTTCTTTTTTTAATAGAGGGTTTCACCATGTTGGCCAGACTGTCTCGAACTCCTGACCTCAAGTGCTCTGCCTATATTGGCCTCTCAGAATGCTCACTATTATAATACTGTTTCAGAAATACTATAAGCAAAGTTTTCATTCCATCACCACCAATAGACCTATCTGAGTTCTCCTCGAAACTACCAGTTCCTTGCTATCTCTATTTCGAGAAGACCATCTGCCTCCCATTAATAGAGGTCTTCCCCCATAATTCTGTAAGTCCACATGTTGGACTTACAAGTGGAATTGCTAGGATAATAATTTGTAGGAATTAACAGATTTTTCTTCCATTGGGACTAATTAAGGTATACTCTAGCAAATAAAAATTAAATATGCTTACTTGTTTATTTTTGAGACAAAGTCTTGCTCTGTTCCCCAGGCTGGAGTACAGTGGTGTGATCTCAACTCACTGGAACCTCCACCTCCCAAGTTCAAGTGATTCTTCCACCTCAGCCTCCCGAGTAGCTGGGATTACAGGCACCTACCACGACACCTGACTAATTCTGTATTTTTAGTAGAGAGGTGGTTTCGTCACTTTGGCTAGGCTAGTCTCCTGACCTCTTGGCCTCCCAAAGTTCTGGGATTATAGGTGTCAGCCACCACACCCAGCCTAAACATGCTTTAATATAGGGAATTACGTGCTTAAAATCATTAAAAGGATTGGGGGAGCACAGAAGGCAGGGGTTACTAGAATTCCTCCCAGATCGACAGTGCAAAACTGACCATCCGGGGGAGCTACCACTTCTATAACAAGTGGGAAGCTAGGAGATAAGAAAGCCACAGTCTTGGCTGTGGGCTGCAGGACTGTCCCACCTCAACTGAGATCCAGAGATCAGAAAGCTGTGGGCTTGGCTCCAGAGTGTGCACAATCAGTGTTGTGATTGCCTTACGCCCTGTCCTATCTCTCCCAGCTCAGCTAGGTTCCAAACTAAAACCTGGTGTATGTGCATCTGAACAGCAAAGCCTAAATCACATTTGAATCCCTATCAAGTGTAGTTACAGACATACAGGTTTTTACTTTCACTGCAGTTTTTGTTTGTTTGTTTTACTTCCCAGCCTCTGCCATCCAGGAAGGCTCATCAGAAAAACCGTTGGAAGAGATGCTGAGCAAACCAATCAGAATCTTATGACATACAAGGGTGCTGTGGTCTGAATGTTTGTGTCCCCCGCAAAATTCATAAGTTGAAACCCAACTCTCATGGTGTTAGCACTAAGAGGTGAACCCTTTGGGAGGTAATGAGGTCATGAGGACTTTGCTCTCATGAATGGGATTCGTTTCTGCATAAAAGAGGCCTGAAGGAGCTTGTTTGCCTCTTCCGCCTTAAGGACACATAGAAAGCACCAGGTATGAGGGACAGACTCTTGCCAGACACAAAATCTACATGTGCCTTGAACCTCCCTGCCTCCAGAACTCTGAGCAGTAAATTTCTGTGGTTTCTGAATTACCAGTCTCGGGTATTTTGTTAGAGCCACCCAAATGTACTAAGACAGAAATCCCCTTCACCATTTTCCCCGATGCCCTCCTCTAACTCTTACCTCTGTATTACAGTGCTTTTCCTGGAAAGGTTTCTGTTCTCACTGTCTCAACTTCCTAACCTTCCACTCATTTCTTAACCTACAAAATATTACTGGGGCCAGGCATGGTGGCTCACATTTGTAATCTCAGCACTTTGGGAGGTGGAGATGGGTGGATCACTTGAGGTCAGGAGTTCAAGACCAGCCTGGCCAATATGGTGAAACCCCATCTCTACTAAAAAATTATATATATATATACACACACACACACACCCATATATACATATGTATATGTATATATATACACACACACATATATATGTATATATATACACACACACACACACACCCATATATACATATGTATATGTATATATATATACACACACACATATGTATATGTATATATATATACACACACACACACACAAAAATATCATTGCACCTCTGTTGAAACACCTCATATCACAGGACCCATCCAATCTCTCTGCTTTTTCCCCGTCTATCACCCTTCCACTCCTATTGTCTTCAAAGTTCTGCATTTAGCACCTCACTCTTCTAAGCCTGTATATTCTGATCCTATCTACTTGTACGGCCTTACCTACCATAGGGGTTAATCCCCCACACCCTAATGCCAAACATAACATCTTTTCCAAGAACAGACTCAGATCTCCAATTGCATCCTGAATGTGTCCACCTCAATATCACAAGCACCTCAAATGCAACATGTCCAGTACTAAATCTATTGTCTTATTTGTCATTATTTGAATCTGATATTCAAAATCAGTTCTTCCCCTCTGTCCTATCTGTGTGTAACCTGCACAACTTCACCCACACGCTGAAGCTAGAGCCCTGGAAGTAAATTTGATTCTCTCTTTCCTATTACTATATTCAAACTGTCTCGAACGATGATAAATTCAGTGTAAGGCTTTTACCTGAGTTCTGAGTTTAACAGGTGCTCTTTAAAGAAAGACCTCAGACATGCGCATTCTAGCACTTTATTGGAAATTGATTGTGTACATCAATGAGATCACATCAAAGTAAAAGCATCATTTTCACACAATAATATCCTCATATTTGTGCTATCTTCTTACATAATTTAATAAATTGCAAGATGCTCCTAATATTGGTATTGAAGAGCTTGAGTGGTCCAGAAATATCTCTACATAAATATAAATTATCACATCTAAAATAGCCATCATTGTTTTAGTAAGTCCCAAAAGTCCTGGGAACATCTCTTAAAATACAATTGCCTTAGGCCGGCTGCAGTGCTGGTAGGAGGGAGCGAAGGGGGTACACATGGAGCTAATTACAGCAGGAGCTGGACAGAGGGACACGCCAAAGGGGATGGGGGCCAGAGACCCCAAAAGCTGGGCAGGGAACTCTGCCACCCTGCATATTCCAACATTGCTTCAGTGTCAAAGCTAACAGATGTGAGACTCCAATGCAGAAAGAAGCCCATCACCCCAACTCCCTTGGCAGTGCCCAAAGATGGCACAGTCATCCTTCAGATTACACAAGGGCAGAGATTCTGGCATAAAGAAGCTTCTGGAAAGCCCTACCCATCTTCCTCCAAACAGAAAACATGTAGGAATGGCACCTTAAAGAAAATAACTTTGAGCCAAAGTGCTGCTGGCCCCTTGGGATGGGGACAGGGTGCTTGCTTGGTTTGGTTTGACCTGAGGGGCACTGGCAAAGTCTACGCTGCCCCCAATATCTCCCTCACCACCTTTAAAGCCATCATCAACAATCAGTTTCTCTGGTTCTTCAAAGCTTCTCAGCATTCAGCATAGCATCTTTATATGTGTGGTAGTTTTACTGCTCACATAGCTTTCATGTCCACTAAGTCAGGTGGTTCTCACACCCCTATGAGGTAGGAAGGGCAGGGATCACCATCCCCATTTGAAAGACAAGGAAGCTGGAACTCAGAGAGTTAGGTCCCTTGACCAAATTCACATAGCTGGCTCATGGCAGAATCAAAACCAGAACTCAGGTCCATGCCCCAAAGTCCCTCCTGTTGCTTTTCTGAAGACAGGAAGAGGCTCGGGACAGGATGCCTGTCCTCATCCCTCACCCGGCCCTCTTGGGAGGCTCTCAAACAGCCCCATTGAGAATAGGATGAGTCCGCATGCGATAGATGATGACTGCAGTGGCTGGGCATAGCAACAAGGAGGTCATGATGACAATGGTGGCTAGGATGATGAGGACAATAACCCAGATATCCAGGATGTGCTTGGGAAGCACGACTTCCATGGGGACTTGGCTGACTGCATCCATGTTGCTTCACTCTGCAACAGACAAGAAAGGAAGATCACTGTTGTGTAGTCTCCCTGCTTCCCTGGTTAGAAGGAAACCCTCAGGAGTCAGAAGCCTGGGTCGTTTACCAGATATGCAAACTTTAAGATTCAATGATTAGTAATTATAATGGCTTCGTTTACTGAGGGCTTCCTGTTGCCAGATCTATGCTAGACACTTTATGTCTATAAACTCATTCAGTCATTACGTGAACCACTAACCCTATGGGGTAGGGACTATAATTACTTTTTTCTATTTCTTGGCCTTTACCTTCAGTTATACCCACTTTGCAGAGGAGGACTCTAAAGCCTTAAAAGACAAGAGGTCATTAATTTGACCAAGAGAGTGAACCCAGATGGGTGGGACTCCAGAGCCTTCCTGCTTAACTATTAAGCTACCACACTACCAGTCTGTTCTCTCATCTATAAAATGAGAAATGCATTGTTTTTGGTACTATACCCCTTATCCCATTCTCCTCTTTCTGGGGAATACCAACGTATTCTGTATGGTTTAGTTGGGACACTGACCTGAACACAGAGATGGATATGTGACCCAGAGTTGACCATTATAAGTCTCCATAACCACAGCTCAGAGTTAGGAAAGTGACTCAGGCTAGGTCAACCAAAGTCTTCCCCGCAGAGCTTTTATGCACAAGCTCTTAGGAAAGAGGATCCTTTCTCCTCGGATTGCTAAATTGAAAGGATGTGAGTCTGGAGAGAATTGGCCTGAGGCTATCTCCCATAAGTGGCAAGCCCCTCCTAGAGATGGAAAGACAAATGGAGCCTCAAGTGGCCTCATGTGAGGACCTGAATCCAGCCAAGATTGATGCCATCTGCAACTCTAGACACGCCAGATATATGAGCCAATAATTCCCTGTCTTTGCTTAAGCAGTGCCTATTTGGTGTCTTCCACTTGCAGTTAAAAGAGTTCAGATGGATACAGATATAAATCAGCTGTTCCCAATCGTTTTCAATTCACTGTATCTTTAGTGTCTTAGTCATTTTTTTAACAGCACCCCAGGTCAAAATAAATACCAAGCAGTTCCATTTATTAAGTAGTTAGTAGTAGTGTTAAGTAGTTTGATTTTTCCATAAGTTATTGGGGTACAGGTGGTATTTGGTTACATGAGTAAGTTCTTTAGTGGAGATTTGTGAGATGTTGGTGCACCCATCGCCCATGTATACACTGCACTGTATTTGTGGTCTTTTATCCCTCACCACCCTCCTACTCTTCCCTCCAAGTCACCAAAGTCCATTGTATCACTGTTATGCCTTTGCATCCTCCTAGCTTAGCTCATACATATCAGTAAGAACATACGATGTTTGCTTTTCCACTCCTGACTTACATCACTTAGAATAGTCTCCAATCTCATCCAGATCACTGCAAATGTAGTTAATTCATTCCTTTTTATGGCTCATAGTATTCCATCATATATGTATAACACAGTTTCTTTATCCCCTCGTTGACTGATGGGCATTTGGGTTGGTTCCATGATTTTGCAACTGTGAATTGTGCTGCTGTAATCATGCATGTGCAAGTATATTTTTCAAATAATGACTTCTTTTCTTCTGGGTAGATACCCAGTAGTAGGATTGCTAGATCAAATGGTAGTCCTACTTTTAGTTCTTTAAGAAATATCCACACTCTTTTCCCCGGTGGCTTTACTAGTTTACATTCCCACCAGCAGGGTAGAAGTGTTCCCTGTTCACTGCATCCACGCCGACATCGACTGGTTTCTGATTTTTTTACTATGGCCATTCCTGCAGGATTAAGGTGGTATTGCACTGTGGTTTTTATTTGCATCCCCTGATCATTAGTGATGTTGAGCATTTTTGCACATTGATTATTTGTGTGTCTTCTTTTGAGAACTGTCTGTTCATGCCCTTAGCCTACTTTGTGATGGGATTGTTTGGTTTTTTTCTTACTGATTTGTTTAAGTTTGTTGTAAATTCTAGATATTAGTCCTTTGTTAGATGTACAGATTTGAAGATTTTCCCCATGCTGTGGGTTGTCTGTTTACTCTGCTGACTGATCCTTTTGACGTGTAAAACTCTTAAGTTTAATTAGGTCGCAGCTATTTATCTTTGTTTTTAATTGCATTTGCTTTTGGGTTCTTGGTCACAAATCCTTGTCTAAGCCAGTCTCTAGAAGGGTTTTTCCAAAGTTGTCTTCCAGAATTTTTATAGTTTCAGGTCTTAGATTTAAGTCCTTAATCCATCTTAGGTTGATTTTTGTATAAGGTGAGAGATGAGGATCCAGTTTCATTCTCCTACATGTGGCTAGCCAATTATCTCAGCACTAGTAGTTGAAACGGGTGTCCTTTCCCCACTTTATGTTTTTGTTTGCTTTGTTGAAAATTAGTTGGCTGTAAGTATTTAGGTTTATTTCTGTGTTCTGTATTCTGTTCCATTGGTCTATTTTTACAGGCACTAATATTGGTCCCTATTTTTATACCAGTACTATTTTGGTGACTATGGCCTTATCATGTAATTTAAAGTAAGGTCGTGTGATGCCTCCAGATTTATTCTTTTTGCTTAATCTTGCTCTGGCTATACATGCTCCCTTTTGGTTCCGTATGAATTTTGGAACTGTTTTTTGTAATTCTGTGAAGAATGATGATGGTATTCTGATGCGGATTGTGTTGAATTTGTAGATTGCTTTTGGCAGTATGGTCATTTTCACAGTATTTATTCTACCTATCCATGAGCATGAGATGTGCTTCCATTTGTTTGTGTCATCTATGATTTCTTTTAGCAGTGTTTTGTACAAGGAAAACTACAAAACGCTGTTGTAAGAAATCATAGATGACAAAAATCAACCAATTTAATACGTATTTATGGCCTAACAACTTAGGAGCTGTTTGCAAAAAAAATACACGAAAAAAGGGTTTTATTTTCATTCGTAACTAGTTACTAATGGAATATATGCACCTGCTGAACACTGTGTAACTTTTGAAACTTTGGAATAATATTGGACAATGCCATCCTCACTTACTATTTCACATTAATTTTTGCCCTGTACTTGCCATACCATGCAACCACCAAAAAATCAACTTCAGGTTAGGTGCAGTGGATCACGCCTGTAAGCCCAACACTTTGGGAATCCGAGGTGGGAGAATTGCTTGAGCCTAGGAGTTCAAGACCAGCCTGGGCAACATAGTGAGACAACGTTTTGTTTTGTTTTTTTAATTAGCTTGGCATGGTGGCTTGCGCCTATAGTCCCAGCTACTTGGGAGTCTGAGGTGTAAGGATTGCTTCAGCCCAGTAGGTCCAGGCTACAGTGAGCCATGATCATGTCACTGCACTCCAGCCTGGGTGACCAAGCAAGACCCTATCTCCAAAAAAATTTATTTTAATCAACTTCATAAATTATAACATTAACAAAAGGAATGTAGTAAGATTAGTGTTAAACTGTGAACTATCTTAAGCTGGTCATTTGTAAAGTGTCTGAGAGATGTCACATACCACTATTTCTGTCAAAAATCTTAAAACTCCTGCAGCACTCCCCTCCTTCCAATTAGTTCACTGGGGCTCCCAGGACACTTCAGTGTGCAGCTTGGGAATCACTGATGTAATACATTCCTTGCCCAGAAGGTGCAAGGCTGGAACAACCTCCTGAAGTTTCTTTCAAAAGTAAGATTGATATTTCTGTGATTCTAGGGTCTAAGCAAAATTCCTAATTGCAATCCTACTTCCTATTCTTATCTAATTACTAATTTTTCCTTTCTAATGCCTTTGGCTCCATGTCTGCTGTTGCCATCCTAAGTAAGTTACTGATCAACCAAATTGAATACCCAAAGGAGAGTACCCAAGAAATACATACAAAGACATTACTTTCTGTGTCATTTGTTCGAGTAACAGACACAGCAAGTGTCCGCTAATAGTAAAATAAAGAAGGGTATATCTATATAATGGAATGCCATACAGCAATTTCTGTGTATACATTCACTCACCCATTCATTCATTCACCAAGCATATAGTGCTTACTCCACATCAATCATTGTTCCAAATGCACTACAAATACTAATTTACCTAATTAATACAGCTACTCTGGAAAACACAATGGAGGTTCTTCAAATAACTGAAAATAGAGTTACTGTATGATCTCAGTAACCTCATTTCTAGGCATATAACGAAAGGATTTGAAATCAGGATGTCAAAGAGATTTCTGCACTCCCATATTTATTTCAGCATCATTCACAATAGCCAGGTTATGGAATCAACCTAAGTGTCTATCAACCATGAATGGATAGAGATAATGTGGCATATACTCAATGGAATACTATTCAGCCTTGGAAAAGAAGGAAATGAGTGCCATTTATGACAACATAGATGAACATGAAGACATTATGCTAAAGGATATAAGCCAGGGACAGAAAGACAAATACCTCAAGTTCTCATTTATCTATGGAAGCTAAAACTATAAGACACATAGAAACAGAAAGCAAAATGGTGGTTACCGGAGGCTGGAAGCTTGGGAGATGGGGAGATGTTGGTCAAAGGCTATTACATTTCTGTTAGGCAGGATGAATAAATGAAAAGTACTTGAGATTTAAAAAATTAATTTATTTATTAGTCATTTAAAAGGAATCTGATCAGTAATGAGCGCCAAAAGTTTCAAGTGGAAAAAATAAAAATGAAGTGCAACAGCGTGTGTAGGATGATTCCTTTGGTTCATATTTTGTAGAATTAAGTAGGTAAATGGGTGAGGATATATACAGGAAAATTACTTTCTGAATGTACTCTCAGGAAAGTGTTAACAGTGGTTACCTTTTCAGGAGCTGGACTAGGAATGGGGTTTTGCTTTTCATTCTTCATTCATAAAACATGATTTTATGACATTTGAATTTTCTCAACATGAGCATTTATTACTTCTGATTTTTTTATGCCAACTGGGTTAAGCTTTTTTGAGATTTTATCTTCATAATTCTTTGTCTTAAAGAGTAAAAATATACATACACAATTTTAAAATCAAATAAAATTAAGAGCTGAGA